GCGTGGCCTAGCATGGGAAACCTGTGCTTGGTGAGGTGGGTGCCGATGTAGGAGGACATCCAATGTAAGAAGGGAGCCCAAAAAGAGGTGTCAGAACCCAAGCAGGATGTAGGGAGCAATTGTATGGAAGTATGGCTGGCAAAGAAGTTGGAACTGAGCAGAGTGAAGAGGACCTCCATGCACAGGGGTGACCTGGACTGTGGAGTTAGAGCCCAAGTAAGATGAGGAGGGTGTTGGGCGCCTGGGTGGCTCAGTTGGTTAAGCGACTGCCTTCGGCTCAGGTCATGATCCTGGAGTCCCGGGATCGAGTCCCACATTGGGCTCCCTGCTCAGCAGGGAGTCTGCTTCTCCCTCTGATGCTCTTCCCTCTCGTGCTCTCTATCCCTCAAATAAATAAATAAAATCTTTAAAAAAAAAAAAAAAAAGATGAGGAGGGTGTTCTCAGAGGAAGTTAGCCTAACATAGGGTGTCAAAGCCAGAGCAGGGTAGGAAGGTTCCTGCTTGATGAGGAGGACGCTAGAGCCCCCAGGGGGTAGAGGGCAAGCACAGGGAGCCTGAGCTGGGTGAGGAATACACCTACGTAGAAGGGTAACCTGGCATGGGAGTTTTGAGCTCAGGTATGGTGAGAAGGGTTTTTGTACAGTGAGGAAGCCTGGTGTTGGTGTCAAAATAAAGCAGGGTGAGGAGGGCAGTCACAAGAGGAAAGGAATGGCAGCTGTGAGATCAGATGCAAACAGGAGGACCAATTAAGTAACTATATATATATTTATGATAATGGGAGCCTGGCTTCTCACTAAGAAAGAAGGAAACCACAAACATGGAAAGGAAAAAAAATGTGAATAAACCCTGTAGTGCTGGATTGAAATTGGATGTAAATACATGTATATACACATGCACACACATGCACCCATGCACACACACACACACACACATATACTCACCCAATCCTTGGCCCTATCTACCAATAGGGTCTAGGGGTAGTGACATTCCCAAAAGCAATGAGTACACCTAGCACCCAAATCTTGATTTCTAAATACCATTTTTCACTAAAAGGAACCAGAGCTCCTCACTGAAATGATTAATTTAGGCTAGGTCAAGAAAAGTACAAGAGTGCCTAGTAATCAAAGAATGATGAAGACCTATCAAAAGATAGGATCTGGCTTGAAAGGTAGCCTACTGGCCAAATTTGGGACAATTTGAGCAATGAAATAAATAATATCAAAATATAACACACTGAATAAAATAGGAAACCTCAATCTATACTGACAAATGAATAAACTGAAACTCTGATAAGGAGAGGATATTTGCATAGTCTCAAAGTACCTCCCCACAAAATACTTATTATAAAGAGGGAAAAAAGTAACTTCATGAATAAATCCAGCAGGTACCTCTTGAAGTGATCTGGTTAACATCATTAGTAACGGGATACAGCTAATGGAAATATCATGTACTTTATAAGTTGCAAAGAGAATACAGTATCACTTCTGTGATATTCCTGCCAACATTGCATAAACTGAATCCAGCTGAAGAAACATCAAACAAAATCAAACTGAGAGATATGCTAAAAATAACTGGCCTATAATCTTCAGAAACGGTAAGGTCACCAAAGATAAGAAAATGCTGAGGAACTGTTCCAAGCTGAAGACTAAAGGGACATGACAACTAAATCTAAGAGTTGATTCTGGGCTGGATCCTTTTGCTATACAGGACATTGAGACAACAGGCATACTGAATGGGGTCTGAGAACTACATGGTAACAATGTCATCAGTGTTTGTTTCCTGATTTTTATGGTTATATTGTGCTTCAGAAGGAGAGTGTCATTTATAGGAAAAATATACTGAAGTATTACAGGGCAAAGGGGCATCACAGGGACAACTTAGTATCAGATAGTCCAAGAAAGTCTTCATAGTATATTTGTAACCTTTCTGCAAATCTGAGATTGTTTTAAAATGTAAAACTTCTTTAAAAATTACTCTTCAAAAAACAGGAGCAATGGATGAACCTTGAAGACATTATGCTAAATAAAATAAGCCAGACACAAAAGAACAAATACTATGTGATTCCACCTATACGAGGCACTTAGAACAGGCAAATTCATATATAAAAAGTAGAACAGAAATAGACTGGGGGTAGGAGGAATGCGGAGTTACTGTTTAATGGGTTTGGAGTTTCTATTTGGAATGATGAAAAAGTTCTGGAAATGATAGTGGGGATGGTTGCACAACACTGAATGTGTTTAATGCCATTGAACAGTACACCTAAAAATGGTTAAAATGGTTAATTTTATGTTATGTATATTTTACCAGATAAAAAAAGTGGGAAAAAAAAGGTTTTAAATACTCAATGTGTTTTTATAAGATGGAACAATATTCATGTCAAAATTATAGTTGTAAACAATTAGAAACTAGTTTAAATATCCTACAATAAAGGAATTGTTTAAATAATAATTATAAAAACTTTAAGAAATGTATACACTGCTTCCAGTGGCAGGGTTGGGGGAAGGGGCAGCAGGCACCATGTCCAACCGCAAAGCCCCTGAAGCAGCCCAAGAAGCAGGCCAAGCAGATGAACGAGGAAAATAAGGCATTCAAGCAGAAACAGAAAGAGAAGCAGAAGAAACTCGAGGAGCTAAAAGTGAAGGCCATGGGGAAGGGCCCCTGGCCACAGGTGGAATTAAGAAATCTGGCAAAAAGCAAGCTGTTCCTTGTGCCGGAGGCAATGATGATCCTTAATTCCATTCTTGTTTAAACATCTGGATTCCCTGTCATAGCATCTATTGTTACCTATAGCTGAAATGAAGTGTTGTCTTAGATCCTGTTGTATAATTAAGAATGAATTTTTAAAATAACCAATCATAAAAAAATAAATGTATACAAATATTTTATATAACAATACAGCATTTAAAATAGAATGAAGGGGCGCCTGGGTGGCTCAGTTGGTTAAGCGACTGCCTTCGGCTCAGGTCATGATCCTGGAGTCCCAGGATCGAGTCCCGCATCGGGCTCCCTGCTCGACAGGGAGTCTGCTTCTCCCTCTGACCCTATCCCCTCTCATGTGCTCTCTCTCTCTCAATCTCTCTCTCAAATAAATAAATAAAATCTTTTAAAAAATAAATAAATAAAATAAAATAGAATGAAGTGCATCATCCTCGTTTTGTTTTTGTTTTTTTAAGATTTTATTTATTTATTTCACAGAGAAAGAGAGAAGGCATGCACAAACAGGGGGGAGCTGCAAGCAGAGGGAGAGGAGCAGCAGCCCTCCCGCCGAGCAAGGAGCCCGATGTGGGGCTCAATCCCAGTACCCGGGGATCATGACCCGAGCCGAAGGCAGATGCTTAACCGAATGAGCCACCCAGGTGCCCCATCTTCCTTGTTTTAAAATAAAACTTTTTCGGGGCGCCTGGGTGGCTCAGTCGTTGGGCGTCTGCCTTTGGCTCAGGTCATGATCCCGGGGTCCTGGGATTGAGCCCTGCATCAGGCTCCCTGCTTGGCGGGAGGCCTGCTTCTCCTCTGCCTCCCACTCCCCGAGCTTGTGTTCCCTCTCTCGCTGTGTCTCTGTTAAATAAATAAATAGAATCTTTGGGGGCGGGGGAATAAATAAATAAAAACTTTTTCTTTTTTTTTAAGTAAGCTCCATGCCCAGCATGTAGCCCAACGTGGGACTTGAACTCATGACCCTGAGATCAAGACCTAAGCTGGTATCAACAGTCAGATGCCCAACCAACTGAGCTACCCAGGTGCCCCTAAAATAAAACATTTAAAGGGGCGACTGGGTGGCTCAGTTGGTTGGGCGACTGCCTTCGGCTCAGGTCATGATCCCAGGGTCCTGGGATCGAGCCCCGCATCGGGCTTCCTGCTCAGGGGGAAGCCTGCTTCTCCCTCTCCCACTCCCCCTGCTTGTGTTCCCTCTCTCTCTGTCTCTCTCTCTCTCTGCCAATTAAATAAATAAAATCTTTAAAAAAAAAAAAATTAAAAAAAAATAAATAAATAAAATAAAAAACATTTAAAATAACTGAAGTATAAACAATTAAGAGTGGCTATTTCTCTTAGGTGGGATTACACGATTATTCTTTCTTTCTTTATATTTCAAATTTTTATAAGAAATACGGTTTACTGGGGTGCCTGGGTGGCTCAGTTGTTTAAGTGCCTGACTTCAGCTCAGGTCATGATCCCAGGGTCCTGGCATTGAGCCCTGCATCAGGCTCCCTGCTCAGTGAGAAGCCTGATTCTTCCTCTCCCTCTGCCTGCCACTCCCCCTGCTTGTGCTCTTTCTGTGTCAAATAAATAAATAAAACCTAGGGATGCCTGGGTGGCTCAGTCAGTTAAGCATCTGCCTTTGGCTCAGGTCATGGTCCCAGGGTCCTGGGATCGAGTCCCACATCAGGCTCCTTGTTCAGCGGAGAGCCTGCTTCTCCCTCTCCCTCTGCCACTCCCCCTGCTTGTGCTCTCTTGCTCTCTCTGACAAATAAATAAATAAAATTTTTAAATAAACAAATATCTGCAGCCAATTAAGCTGACTGTGCTCTTTCTCCATGGGGGCCCAGTGTGCCATGGCTGCAAATAGTAGCCTCCAAATAAAAATCTTTAAAAAAAATAAGATAAAATAAGAAAACTAAGGAAACCCAAAAGTATATTTGCTTGTCTATAATCTTGTGATCATTTTTTGGTTGTTGGGTTTTTGATATTTGTTACTGCAGTAAAACAGAAAAGCTGTAACAAGCAAACTAAATCAAAGTTCCTAAATTTATCAAGGCTAGCTATCCCTTCACATCTGAAAATAAAGTCCTATATATTTGGGTTGGTAAAAGATGGAGAATATTTGACAAGGCAAAGACCACCTCATTTTCCTTAACATGGTGCCTCTCAAACTCTGCTCACAATAAAACCATCAAATCTCAGTTCCAACTCTACGACAAATTAAGTGTGTGTTCCAATGTAAGTCTGCGTGCAGCTATGCAAAGCTCCCCATCACAAAGCCACGGCAACATCAGACAGCTCACCTCAAATGGGTTCAGATTGAAGTAGGAAGAACCAGGACGGGTCAATCTTTCAATCTGATTTTTGGATGTTAGAACTGAGTCTCTCTTCTCTATTTGTTTCACCTAAAATGGAGGGAAATAAAAACTTCATTAGTAAAGTTCAATAATAAACTCTGAATTGTCACCTTAACAAGCTACTGACATGTTCAGCAAACATTTGTCTACATGTGGAAGACGGTTTGCCAAATGCTTTGGGAATAATTACAATAGTTATCATTTATTGAATTCTAATAATGTAAAAACTTTACATATATTTATTCCTCCCAACCATCCTATACAATAGACATTACTATTATCCCCATTTCACAGATAAGAAAACTGAGACTTAGAGAGGTTAACTGACTTGTTCCCAATTACCCAACTTGTAAACAAGAATTTTAACTATAACAGTTTGAGGAATCAAGAACATTCAAACAGGGGCGCTTGGGTGGCTCAGTCGGTTAAGCGTCTGCCTTCGGCTCAGGTCATGATCCCAGGGTCCTGGGATCGAGTCCCGCATCGGGCTCCCTGCTTGGCGGGGAGCCTGCTTCTCCCTCTCCCTCTGCCTGCCACTCTGCCTACTTGTGCTCTCTTTCTGTCAAATAAATAAGTAAAATCTTTAAAAAAAAAAAAAAGAACATAAATATATCACAGCCACCACTTTCAAAGAGCTTCCACTGTAATGATGGAAGATGTGCCTGTGCTGTTCATACTTAATTTACAATTTTTTATTTAAGAAAAATACAATTAGGGGCGCCTGGGTGGCTCAGTCGTTAAGCGTCTGCCTTCGGCTCAGGTCATGATCCCAGGGTCCTGGGACGGAGCCCCGCATCGGGCTCCCTGCTCCGCGGGAAGCCTGCTTCTCCCTCTCCCACCTCCCCTGCTTGTGTTCCCTCTCTCACTGTATCTCTATCTGTCAAATAAATAAATAAAATCTTAAAAAAAAAAAGGAAAAAGAAAAATACAATTATACTGAAATATATACTAACAACAGCATTAAAAAAGTATATGGGAGGGGCAAGTAACTCTGCCTACCTAACTCGAATAGAGTTAGAAAAATCCCTGGCCCAAGGGCTCAGTATGTTGGGCACCCGACTCTTGATTTCCACTCGGGTCATGATCTCAGGGTCCTGGGATTGAGCCCTGCACCCCACTCTCCACTCAGTGCAGAGTCTGCTTGGGATTCTTTCTCTTCCTCTTTCTCTGCCCCTCCCTCACCCAAATAAATAAATAAATAAAATCTTAAAAGAAAAGAAGGGATGGGAAGGAAAAGAAAGGGTAAAGAAAAACCCCTGGCCCAAAGACAATGCTAAGGAGAACAGGCACCAGGCAATGCCAGGAAACATCCTTAGTGCCACTGTTAGAACTGTAATACTAGCTGAAATGAACCACTGGTATGTTATAATACCACCTTTATTCCTATGGCCAAAAGGAGTTTGGAAATAATTTCAGTAACATAAAAAGCCGTTCCTTCTCAGTATCTCCCCTCTTCACTTTCTTTAAAATAGCATGCCACTCCCCACCCCCTATACCCTACCTTCTTTCCCAGACTTATTTTCCCTCATTGCACTTATCACTACCTGACACTATATTGTACATGTTTGTTTACTGCTTATCCTTCTCTACAGAATGCAAGCTCTATGAAGACAGGATTTTTCTGTTGTTCACTACCATACCTCTAGCACCTAAACAGTACACTAGTACATGTCAGGTACTGAATAAACATTGACTGAGGGGCGCCTGGGTGGCTCAGATGGTTGGGTGTCTGCCTTCGGCTCGGGTCGTGATCCCAGGGTCCTGGGATCGAGCCCCATATCGGGCTCCTGGCTCGGTGAGGAGCCTGCTTCTCCCTCTGCCTCTCTCCCTGCTCGTGCTTTCTCTCTCTGTATCTCTGTGTCTCAAATGAATAAATAAAATCTTAAAAAAAAAAAAAAACATTGAATGATGACTGAAGGGTCCTCCTTTAGGTATTTACTCTCATTCAATTCAAACAAACCAGGATTGCTTTTCTTTTTTCTCTTTTCTTTTTCTTTTTAACTAAGCGATGGTAAGTGAAACAATTTCCAGTGTAACTGCAGAATAGTCATTAGAGGTCAATAAACTTTGGTACCAGTGTATCAACATTTTCAAGTTAATTGGGCATTTCAAAAGGACAAACTATAAAGGATGTGCTAATTCCATTTTTAAATTTAATACTTTGGAGAAACTACTTTATTTGTAACAAGCACTGTTACAAATAAAAGATGAATGTGACATGGTGCTGAACTGAGTAGCTCACAGCCTAGAGGGGAGCAACTCCATTCCTCAAATCCATGCCAACTCACAGAGGTCCATCTTCAGCTTTAACTCTTAAAAAGACCCTTTCTTATACACTAACTCCTTTAACGCTCATAAAACTCGTTTTAATATTAACTCTCGCTTTACAGAAGTGGAAACGGAAGATCTGCAAAATCAATGCCTTGAAAAAAATTCAATCACAGTCCAATTAACTGCCTTGCAAAAATCCAATCCAAAGTCCTCCGACTCCAAATGGCATGCTTTTCTTTCATTTATTCATTCACTTATTCAACAAATATTTACCAAGCAATCGCTATGTTCTAGGCGCTGGAAATGCGACAGTAATCGAGGCTCAGACCAAACTCACTCCAGTCCTAACATGATACCAAGCTGTTATCTGCTTTAGGACCCATAACAAATTATTTCACCTCCCTAAACCTCAGGTTTGTCATCTGTAAAACAGAGATAATGCCTACCTGGCATGAGGCATAGTGCCTGACGTTCGCGAATGGCAGAAATAACCACTAATACAACTCATTACAGAGGACTAAGAGTGAACAGTAGTTCCATTTAAAATAAAAATGAGGCCCAAGACAGTTAAGTCGCTCCCAAGAAGGCCACCCTCTGCCAGCCCCTGACTCCGCGGACTTGGGGACCTCTGCACGCGCCCAGGCACTTCGTTGGCCACACTCGTCCTCTACCCGCAGACGTCGGACCCGGGCCCCTTTTCCGATGCCCAAGGGATTCCCCCAGCAGCTATCAGGCAGAGACGCGCACACACACCCCCAGCCCCCCGCCTCCCCGAAGGCCAGACAGGAGGAGCCGCCCAACGGTCCAGGCCAGGAAGACCACTGCCTTTGCCCGCTGGGAAAGTAGGACTGGGCGGGGTCGCCCCGGTGCCACTACTCCTCACTCAGTGTTCACCTCACTGTAGAAGGTCATAAATGCTTCCTCGGTGCTCCCTCCGCCAGCCGAAGCCCCGCTCTCTCCAGGAGCCGCCATTTCCCCGGCCCAGCAACCACGTGACTCCCCTGCGCAGGCGCAGCCTCCTGTGATTCTTACAAGCCCGCCTCTCTAGCCCCGCCCCCTTCCTTGTGACTCTTAAAGGGTTCGCAGCCCAGCCAGACACCTCTAACTGAATATTTTTTAATTGAGGTGAGATATACATAACATATAATTAAAATGGATAATTCAGTGTGTCTTAGTACACTCATAGCATTGTGCAACCATCAACCTCTGTCTAGTTCCAAAACAGTTTCATCACCCCAAAAGGATATCTGGCACCTATGAAGTATTTCCTCCCCATTCCCCCTTCTACTCAACCCCTTACAACAACCAGTCTGTGTTCTGCCTCTATGGATTTACCTATTCTGGACATCTCATAATGCAATCATACAATATGTGACCTTTTGTGTCTGCCTTCTTTCACTGAGCATAATGTTTTCAAGTTTCATCCAAGGTATAGCATGTGTCATTATTTCTTTTTTTTTAAAGATTTTTTATTTATTTGACAGAGAGAGAGAGATTTTTTATTTATTTGACAGATAGAGATAGCGACAGCAGGAACATAAGCAGGCAGAGTGGGAGAGGGAGAAGCAAGCTTCCCGCTGAGCAAGGAGCTGATGCGGGGCTCGATCCCAGGACCCTGGGATCATGACCTGAGCTGAAGGTAGTCGCTTAACGACTAAGCCACCCAGGCACCCCTAATTTCATTATTTTTTATGTCTGAATGTTATTCTGCTGTATAAATATACCACAATTTGTTTTCATTCATCAAATGATAAACATTTGGATTGTTTCCATCTTCTAGCTATTGTGAAATGATGCTATGAATGTGTGTGTACACGTATTTGAGTACCAGTTTTCAGTTTTGGGGGGGTACATACCTAGAAGTGAAATTGCTGAGTCTTACGGTGATTCTGTATTTAACTTTTTAAGCAACTGCCAAGATATTTTCCACAGTAGCTGAACCATTTTACATTCCCACCAGCAACATACAGGGGTTACAGTTTTTCCACATCCTCACTAACACTTGTTAAATTCCTTTTTTTTTTAATTATAGCCATCCTAGTGTCTACACAATCCTTTGCACAAACTCAGTAAGACCCTCCATTGAATGCCTAGCCTAAGAGATAATCAAGAAACAGCAGTACCTGAAAAACAGAACAGTTTCTGAAACTAGAATGGCACTTAAATATCACCTAGAAACACAGGAAATTATTACCACTAGGTAGTGGGCTTATACGTGATTATTATTTCTATCTTTCTGCTTTTGTATTTTTCCAAGTTTTCTGCCATGAACATTTGAAAATGTGCCCTGCAGGCATTTCTTATCATTTAAGTCATACAAACTAGGGCTGGTATTTTTCCAACCAAAAGATTATCAATAAAAACAACAATTTCGGGTGCCTGAGTGGCTCAGTCGTTGAGCGTCTGCCTTCGGCTCGGGTCGTGGTCCCAGGGTCCTGGGATCGAGTCCCGCATCGGGCTCCCTGCTCGGCAGGAAGCCTGCTTCTCCCTCTCCCACTCCCCCTGCTTGTGTTCCTGCTCTCGCTGTGTCTGTCAAATAAATGAATAAAATCTTTAAAAAAAAAAAAAAACAATTTCACAGAAAGCAAAGAAGATATTTTTATAATCACGAATAAGATAATCTGGCCCAACCCTCTCATTTAAAGGAGGAAAAACTGGGCCCAGAGAGAAAAAATGACTTAGGAAAAGGCTATAAACCACTATGGTCTTTTTCACATTTGTTAGATGGTGAAAGGGAGGTCATGGCAAAGCCTTCCCCAGACTCCTACTTATGCTCTTTTCCACTTCATTACCTCACATTGCCAGAAGTCCAGTTATCAAGCCTGTTCAATTACATATTAATGCATTTTACAAATATTAATTCAGTGCCTACTTGACCAAAGCCCTGATAACTTCAAATGGTGAAAAGCACAAAGAAAGAGCGAGAAAGAACAAAATGTAGCCATATTAGAATGACTAAGGAGGTCGGGTAAAGTTTCTGAGAAGGTGACTTTTAAGCTGTGACTTGAGTGACATGTCAATGCAACAAAAGAACCCTGGCACCTCTTAAGAGCCTACATACACATACACGTATAAAAAATTTTCCCCAGAACCCTAAGTCGGAGCATTCTTGACATAGCCTCCAACCCCTACATTAGCCATCTTATCGATGCTACGTCCAGGAAAGGGAAGGCTTCCTTTGGGTGTTTTAACAACTTCAGGATTGGAATCGTGGGATGGGCTGGATGCCGCGCCTCCCTCTGATGGGTCCAAGAGCCCGGATTTGGACTTCAGACAGTGTTCCTCCCCCATTATTATGCTCCAGGCCTTTGGCCCCAAAGACCTTGCTAGGGATTGGCTAAGAATAGGCCCGCCTCTCGCTCAGGATTCGCTGTGAACTGCAGGAACCCCGCCTCCTCCACTTCATAATTCGCTACTCCTAGGTTCATCCCGCCTCTCCATCGAAAAGATTGGCTGCCTGGCTCCCAAAGTCATTAGCGCCGGCAGAGAGGCTCCACCGCGGATCCCTGGAGAAGTCCTGCTACAACAACAATGGCTGTCACCGCGTTGGCCGCCCGGGTGCGGCTGGGCGTGTGGGGCGTTAGGGCCATACAAGCCCGAGGCTTCAGCTCCGAACGGGTACGCCGGCAGTAGTGCCCGCAGCCCCAGCCCTAAACTTGGATTCCATCTCCCCTTCGCACCTTTACCGACGTTCTCACCTCTCTCCGCAGTCAGACTCCGGCGCGGGCTCGATCCGGGAGGCAGGTGGGGCCTTCGGAAAGAGAGAGCAAGCTGAAGAGGAACGATACTTCCGGTGAGGTCCACGGAGCCCCGAGTCCAGTCCAGATCTCTCAGGGCCCTTCGATCCTTCTTAAACTGAGTCGCCCGGGCACCTGGGTGGCTCAGTAGGTTGAGCAGCCCACTCTTGGTTTCCGCTGTGGTCGTGATCTCGGGTTGTGGAATCGAGCCCGGGGTAGGGCTCCGTGCTGGGAAGGGAGTTTGCGTGGGATTCTCTCTCTCCTCCCTCCGCCCCTCCCCCCCGCTCGCTCGCTCTCACTCTCTCTTGAATAGATAAATCTTTAAAAAGAAAAAAAAAAACCTTCCAATGGCTCTACCCTTCCCTCCCTGGTCCCTGGGGCTCCCATCCACCAATAGAACTAGCGGGCCCTGAACCCATTACCCCCAACACTTGAGGTCCTGACTGTCGCCACCTATAGGGCGCTCAGAGTGCCCTGAAGAACAGTTCAGGGGTCCCAAACCCAAGCCATTTCCACGCGCGGGTCTCCAGAACTCACAAACCGTGCCTCAACTCTTTCTGAATCATTGACCATGCCCACCCATGGAGTTCTCCCCAGTCTTGCGAAATGGCTTCCAGGTTCTTCCAAGATGTCTAGGTCCTACTGCCTGCAGACCCCCTGAGCCTGATTTCCTGGGCCTTCAACCACCCATAACCCATCTACTCTTTCTTTCTTTTCTCCCCCACATGGAGTCCCTGGCTCTCCAGACCCTCAGCCATTTCCGGACTCCCACATGTCTTCCAATTCCGCCAGAGTGCTTCCAACCAAGGCAGCAGCTCCTAGTTGGAACCCTCCTCCCCCACTTCTTGGAGACTATTGCACTGCCCAGCCCAGCCCAGCCCAGCGACTGGGCTGGATAGATTTCTCTCCTGCGTAAGAGTACAGAGCAGTTTGGACCTAGGGACTCTTTCCTAGCCCTAAATAACCATTTACTGATTTCTGTCCTCAGGGGGGAGCAGTGTGGAACTAATCTCGCTTCTGCTTCTCCTCCTTTGGTCTAGCTTTTAACTTCTACTCTTTATTGCTCACTCTTAAGACTTATCACCATGGCACCTGCCATACCAGAGAACCAAGACACAGCCCTTAGATACCATCTAATTGAACATCAACATTTTACAGTTAAGGAAAACTGAGGCCCATATGTGCCCAAACCAACATTTGCATGTCCCTTCTTGAGACCTAAATTGGACTGCCAAGTACTTTTTTCCTCTTCACTTTGGCCTTTACAGTGAGCCATGCATTTCCCTAGGCAAAGAAAGCCCTAGATAAATTGAGATAGAACATGTATATTTGTCCCTCCTTCCCTCCTTTTGCACTTTTTTTTTTTCCCCGAAAAAAGGGATTCTGATCTCTGGGTGGTTCCTGTCCTAAGGTATATAGGACTTAGTGTCACACCTCTCTGGAGTTTTCTAAAGAGAAATCTGAAATGAATAACTCATAGATAATGGAATTTCAGGCACGAGCACCAAGGAAATGGAATCATTTTGGTCATCCTTAAGGTGAATCTATCTCAAGATGGAGTATTCTTTCACTAGTGGGGCTTGAGCGAGTGGTAGAGGATGACCAGCCAGACTCCAGTGGGATTGGGACTCCCATTCTTTGCCTTAGGTATCGCAGGTTATGCTTAGAGATCTCTGTGGGGTGAAGGATTGGGATTTAATGCAGATCCACTGTATCCTTGTAGAGCACGCACTAAAGAACAACTGGCAACCTTGAAGAAACACCATGAAGAGGAAATCACCCATCATATAAAGGAAATTGAACGTCTGCAGAAAGAAATTGAACGGCACAAGAAGAAGATCAAACATCTAAAACATGATGATGATGATTAAACATACACACTTCCCATAGCATAGCTACATATCATTGCCCACTGCTATGGAAGCAGAGTTCTGGTTTTATTAATATCTTATCTGTGTACTGCCAACAGATTATAATAAATTGTCATCAGTGAATTGTGTCTAATGCCTTCTTCCACTATCTGGAGAGGGGTAGGGGGACATACTACTGGACTTCTAAAATGAATCAGATAGGGGCACCTGGGTGGTTCAGTTGGTTAAGCTTCCAGCTCTTGATTTGGGCTCAGGTCATGATCTCAGGGTCCTGGGGTCGAGCTCCCGCTTCGGGCTCCATGCTCAGGACAAAGTCTGCTTGAGATTCTCCCTCTCTCTGCCCTCCCACTCGTGCATACTCTCTCTTGCTTTCTCTCTCTCTCTCAAATAAATAAATAAAT